CTGGAATATCACTTTAAAAGCCAGCACAGGAAAAAAAGTTCTGGAGCTGTAACTTTAAAATTGTGTGGAAAACGAAATTCCAGTAAGAAAACAAACCAGAAAAGTTATTTCACCAAACCACGGCCACCAATTTTAATCACGTGTACACAATGCCTCTACATTGAACCAGAAATTACCATGAATATCGACTTCTGGGAGTTTGATTAATGAAAAGCTTTTGCCAGAAAGAATAGTGGCTTAAATCTACAAGCACATCACTGTGCAGCTGGAGAGACCCGAACGTGTGTTGAGATTTTCTGTCTAGCACAGACTTTACTTGTACTCCTACGCCAGTGTGAAGAACAGGATCTGGGCATCGAACATCTAGGGCAGCTCCCGTAACACAGACAGGCAGCACAGGAACTGAGCGAGTCTTTACGCGGGAGCACATCACACACACCGAGCAAAGGTACTCTTATTTAAACCAAAATTCGAGCATGAAGGATTCTGTGCATACCACCTAGAGACAAAGTTTATCCAAAAAATGTGCATTTGAATGTTTATCTTCACAGAGAAGTACATACCTTGATGACAACTGCGAGGAGCCCCACACCACTACCATTTATCGCTACAACAGGAATCCCCAACCACAATGAATTCATAATAAGCCAGACACAGCCCGTCTTCAGATAAGGGCCCTTCTGAATAACAGTTTCTCATCGTCAGTGAAGAACTCATGACAAATTAATTCTATATATTTTTAATTTCACCTTTTGTAAAAGGTAAAAAGGTTTCCCTCCCTTTATTTTTTTAGTGTAAGGCAGTGTTGCCAATAATATCATTAGCGAAGGATGGGTGGAGAAAATGAGGGTATTGCAACATTAATAAACTTTTTCTTTCTGTTTATGAACTGAGTGCTTAGTCTCCTGCAAAGACACCTCAGAAACACCTGAAAACAAGGCTTAAGCCAGCATAAGGCTTTTAGGTGTTCGTTTCCATTGACGAGAAATGGCATCTGTTTATAGAATTTTAACAATAATAGTAGTGCTTTTTATTTCTCCTGTTATAATACCAGCACTGTTTTTGGGGGGGTTAGTTTATGATTTTTTCATCTCAGAACTGCCACCTGGAATTGATGAACCTCTAAAGCTTCGCTTTTTCCATTCATTGTTGATTACAACCATGGCCTCGGTAAGTTAACTTTCTTAAAACTGGGGATTTCACTTTTATTTTGGTAGTATATTTGGGAGCTGGAAGATAATGGCTTAAAAAGAAAAAAAGCAGCAGTAATTCACCTCCTTGAAGCCTGTAAGCACTGTTATATGAACCAAATCATGTTAAATTAACTCACAAAACTGACAAGCTTCATCTTAAAAGCTTATTTAGATTTTTCAGGGCATCTGTTAAACTGCAGCCACTTTACATTGAAAAAATGTCTCACACGAAAATTTTTAAAAGTAGCGATACGTGTGCTGTACTACTGAGCTGCGCAGACATCTAATACTGTTACCTATTCAGAAGCAAGCCTACGTTACTCCTTCCGAATTCTTTCTTTTCAACAGGGAAAGATTTTGGAGAAGCTAGGGATCTGCAGTGATTTAATCTTACTGCGAGTTGTGCTAGATGGAATACCGCCATGGAGAGATTCAAAACTGCTTATCAAAGATCTCACAGTAGATGAGGTGCCCTTGAGGATTTATCAACCTAAATGGCCACCTACTGGCAAAAGAAGAGGAATACTGTATTTTCATGGAGGCGCTGGCACATTTGGGAGCATTAGTAAGAAATCCACAAGTTTTATTTTTAAAATCAAAGACCAACCTTTACATTTGTACCCTCAGACATGTATCAGTCAATATCTCACCTGTCCTTCCTAACGATAATAGTCTTTGCAATCTCAATACTAACCACAAAGCACCTCGCGGAATTCCTACTCCAGCACGTAACCACACAGCTGCTTCCTTCGGGAAGCTGATGCCAGTAGCTCGTAGCAGATCTGAGGCTTCCACATCCAGAAGTGCGATCCAGAAACCCTTTAATCGGTTGTCATCCAACAGCAGAGGGACCCCGCTCCTCCTTCTGTTGAAGCTGTTCTGAGAAAGATTTAGTTTGCTCGGGCAGAGAGAGAGATACCACTACAAGAAAATTCGTATGCGCAGGGCACTGTGAGGGAAGTTCAGCATCAGGATATTCTTACACCTTAATTAATGAATTGCCGAAAATAGGATATAACAACAATCCTGGAGTAAGGGCTGGAATCCGCGTCTCTTCTGTCTTTTTGCTCCATACTCGTCTTTTTTTGAAATGTAACTTTTAGGCTGACAGGGAACTCAGCCTAGATCTACTTTCTGCGATAATTAATTTCATGAAAATGGCAACATCCTGGCTTCCTCTTTTGGAATAATGCTTTGGTTACTTCCTAAGGAGAGATTTTTAGTTTTGAATCTCAGCTGGACTAAGCTGTTTCCTGTAATCTTGGATAAGGCCTCAAAGCAGAGAATTTAAGATATATTTCTGTGCTCAACATTCAACTCAAACATTACAAAAGTCAGTGTTCCTCAGCTTGCTGTCTGTGCATCAGAGGAAGTCTAGAAGATACACGGTCCAAGTAAGAAATTAAAGAATACAGGAAGAAACCCCCTGTAAATATGTTCCCCCAAATCTGTATATTCCCATTCATTCAAATACGGAATCAAAATGAAGGAAAATATGAATAACAAATGAGCATTAAAACCAGAACCAATGTGGGGGAGTTCGATCCTCGTGGTAACACTGCACAGCATACTTCCTTCCTTTTTCAGAAAGCGAGACAACCCTTTGATTGTCTCAGTAGCTGCTGGCTCAGCCTCCTGACCGTTCCGGATCCCTCTCTAAGTAACCAAGTCTCCGTGTGCTTTGTGCGGAAGCCAAGGCACCTAACGTGGCAATCTGCATTTCCTTCCAGGGGGCAGACAGGGAAGGTTGTGGGGTTTGAATCCTTTGCTGTTTCAAGAAGTAGGTCTCCATGAGCACTAGGTTAGGCAGCCTCCCGTCACCTGCAAATGAGTTTGAGAGCCTACCTAGCTTCGTTTAGCATCGTGCAGAAATCATAACGTGACTTCTAGCAACTTAGGTTCCACTCTGCGCTGCGGCAGAAATAACCTGCCCTTACTTTTAGTGCAGAGTGCCTTGGTCTGGGTGGAACGTTAGGCTGACACCCGCCGGGAAGCTTCTAGTTGTAGAGCTAGTTTGGGTGGCAATGAGAACTCAAAAGATAAGCCTCTCTGATCAAAGCGAACGGTGAAATCCTTTCGCTGGAAGGAAGAAACCACAGCGCAAGGTTGCACCGTTGTTGTTCTCACCACAGCTGCTGTTGCACAACGAGCACACGCTGCGGGAGCTTTATCACGTGCCCTGGCTTAATATAATACCCATACCTACACGCTGACTGCAGTATCTGACCCTTAGTTTGAATTCCCGGTGGTACTCGGTAACAGGAAAGCAAATAACAGAGTGACAAGGCCTAAAAGGACTTGGGCAATCTGCGTATTATTGAGCCTGAAGTCTGCAACTAGCCAATTAGCAGGAGCCACCATCAGCGGACAGATAAATATGACTTACTCCTTTAAAATCCATAAAAATGCAAGTCACGCTTCACAAATCAATGTTGGCTTTTTAAAAGAGTCAGCAAATACATGAATAAAGGAGACTGAGTCGATAAAATCTACTTTGATTTCCAAAGGAGTCTCTTAAAGGGGCTACACAGCCATGACACAACAGGGAAGGTCCTTCACTTAGATAAAATTCATTAACAGACAGAAGGAAAGACAGGTTGTGGGAGGTTCCTGTGAGATTCCCATAGGAGATCTGTGCTCGGACCAGTGCTAATCAACATATTAAAAATCAGAAAAGATGATGAAAGCTGAAGTCCTTCAAGGTAGCAAATGGATGGCTGAAAACCTGCAGAATGTCTTCACGATAGCAAATGATTAGACAATAAAACGAGAGGTGAGGTAGTATGCAGAGAAGTCAAACATGAACACAGCATCCTAACTTCATAAACAAACCGGGGGACTCTAAGCAGACTACCCCCTTGCCGGAAGAAGGTCTTGGAATTATGGCAGAAAACTGCCTGAAAATGTTAACTTAGTGCACAGTAGCAGTCAAATATCGGCTATAATGCCAATAATTATTATCAGGAAAGGACAAACCACTGTAATAAATCCATGATGCATTTGGGCACAATATACACAATATACACAATATACAGCTTATAGCTCTGGTTCCCATACCTCAGAAATAACACAGCAGCACCAGAAAGACTCAGAGCGAGGCTGCAGAGGTGAGAAAAGTGCTTCTGTACAGAGAACACATGAACAGACTGTGACTCTTCAGGTGGAAAAGACAGACATACTAAATGTTTACAAAACCATGAGCAGCAAGAGAAGTTAAACAGGGAATCCCCCGCTGCTCACAGTACAACAGTAAACGTCATCAAATGGAAGTGGTAAACACCAGGCACAAAACGAGCAAATAGAAAGGGTTCTTCACACCTTTGTAAGCAAGGTATGGAATTCTTCACCGCACTAAGTTGTTAAAGTTAAAACCATGAGTTCAAGAAGTGGTTGGAATAATTCAGGGAAGAAACATTAATCGAGGGCATTAAACATAAAGACACGGTTTCTGTCTCACAGGAGTGCCCTGAGCCTGCGTGCTTCTTACCGCAAAATGCTTGTCCTCAGCTTAAGCCTCTCCTCAGACAGCTCTGGCTGACCACCAGCTGAGATGTGACACCAGCCCAGACTAACTGACTCTTCCTTAGCATTACTGTCCTTACACGCTTCTATTATGCCCTGGCAGCCTCTAATCAAAACTTACAGACTTGTCGTGTTAGCACGTAAAGAGCGTGCTGCACAGCAGAAGTTACTTACTAGTCTCACATTGCAGTGCTGCCCACTGAGTGTATGTTCAAGGATCTGTGTTTTCATTTCAAAAGGAGACTTGATTTCTAACAAGTAATTTCTGATACACTTTCTCTTTAGAAGCCTTTGAACGAATATGCCGCTATATTGCCAAAAAGTGCAACTCAGTGGTTGTGTCTGTTGGGTAAGT